TCACGGTCTTCCTTTTACACAAACAAACAAACAAAAGGACAATGGCTGTTGAAAATAAGCAGTCAGAGGGAGTGGATGGGGGCGAGGGTGGGGCTACCCTCCCTCCCCATGGAGTGTCCTATTTTTTGTAATGTTAAAATATGGTATCCCTACCTTCACAGTGCAGCTCTCCATTCACTTCAGCATGAGGTCTCAGCTACCTCACTCCCTCCCCCTCTTTCCTGTTGGTAGTGGCCAAGGGAATGCTGGGAAATGTAGTTCTTTCCCTGCTCCAGGGCTGGCTCTATAGGCAGGGAGCTAACCAAGGAACTACAGCTCCCAGGGCCCCCTGTTGGTTCTCAGCTCCCATGCTGGATCCCTGCCGCCCCTGCAAATGGGCTGCCCCAAGCACGTACTTGCTTTGCTGGTGCCTAGAACCGCCCCTGGGAGCTGGGGATTGAAACCTGACTGCCCCACACCGCTAAACACTGGGCTGTTGGTATCATGAGACATGCAGGGGTTTCTCTCTCAGCGATCCAATGCCTAAGTACATTTGTGACTCTAATCCTTATTATTTCATTCTGAAGTGCAATGGAAAAGGCACAAAATTGTTTTTTTCTTCAACCATGCAAAATATGTAACTTCTTTTCTGTAGCGGAGTTTTCACTACATTGTCAGATAGATAACAGAAAAAGGGAAGTTACTTACTGGAGAGAGAAGAACAGGAGGACTTGTGGCACCTTAGAGACTAACAAATTTATTAGAGCATAAGCTTTCGTGGACTACAGCCCACTTCTTCGGATGCATATAGAATGGAACATATATTGAGGAGATATATATACACACAGACAGAGAGCATAAACATGTGGGAGTTGTCTTACCACCTCTGAGAGGCCAATTAATTAAGAGAAAAAAAACTTTTGAAGTGATAATCAAGCTAGCCCAGTACAGACAGTTAGATAACAAGTGTGAGAATACTTACAACAACTTAATCTTTTATCTAAGCTAATTTGTAAATACCCACATTTACTACAATGCCCCCCAAACCCTTATTTAATAACATGAAGGCCCATATAATGAATATTAATAGCTATATACTGAATATAATTATATCTGCCCCTGTTTACAGCATTAAGCATATTATACAGACATTTTTACCTTGAAGATGCATTTCTTTGCAGTAATTGTAGCCACAAGTTCCCTTAATCAGCAGTTCGCAGGGAAGGGAGGAAGGGGCCATGACCCTGAGCTCATCTATGTAGCTGGGAAAGGAAGAGAGGGGGAGATAACACTTCTTTACTCAAAGGGTATTCTTTAGATACCCACATTCCTTATGCAGGTGCAATGCTTATCAGTCCTTAACAAGCAGAAGGGAAGTGAGAGGGATGGCAACTTTATCTATCAAGCAAAGAAATAGTGCCTGCCGGTGCCTACTCCCTATTACCATGATAGCGGTTTTCCAGGTCTTTCCTTAACCCTTACATATCCCAACTGTAATGTCAGGAACTGCACCTACCCTGCTGCTCCTTGTAGTTTTACTATCACATTCCTTTATATATTTAAAAGGTATATACCTTCCTCTGTTGTTGCTGTGTGAAAAACCCACGCAAATAAGGGGAATGTCTGAAACAGAGGAAGGCGAAACTGACTAGTTACAAAGTAAACAATGAAAAATAAAGAGAGAAATTGTTCTTTCATGTTGGAGAAATCTCATGGGCTCCTTTTAATAAAAGGAGGTAAAAAATCTTCAGGCAGAAGAGTGACTGTTAAGTTGAAAGTGATTCGTAAATAGGTCCAATCCTTCTGCTAATCAAGTCAATGGCAAAACTCCCATTAACTTTAGTAGGAGCAGGAGTTGGCCCCAAAGGTTATAAAACATAGAACCATAGAATATTAGGGTTGGAAGAGACCTTAGGAGGTCATCTAGTCCAATCCCCATGCTGCAGATTAAAAATGTGCTGATTTGTTTTGTTTAACAAGTGTACTTTTTGGGGTGAGGAAGAAACCCCATCAAAAGGTAGCTGGAAAGCCTCTCATTAGAGGTATGTCTACATTGCAATCAGGAGCTGGGATTGCACCACACATAGGCATAGCCGAGCTAACTTGCTAAAAATAGCAGTGTAGCCACAGGCTAGCCACCTGAGTACAGTCCTGCTTCAGACCCTAGGTAGGTACTCAGGCAGGTAGCCCAGGCCACCACCTGTGCAGCCGCCGCTAGACTCCAGTTTTTAATGAGCAAGCTTGAGCAAAGCTAGCCTGAGTATGCCTACGCTTGCTGTCCCAAGTGCAGTGTTCACATACCATTTGAGGCAAGGGGCACGACTCTGTAATCCAGCAAAGAGCTTTTAATAATTACGAAGCCCTGCTGCTGGAGCTTGATTTTGAAATGTCCATCAGTAACCGGTCCGGAGAATGTCCGTGTCCTAGTGGCAGCATGCCTTTGTGCCTGGTATGGTGCCTTGTTCCAAAACTTCACCTACAGTCCCCTCCTCCTCTTCTGCTTGCTGCACCGCCCCCCACCATCCCATGCTGTGAGCGAGGCTGCAGTGTTTCAGTGGTTCCCCCTTAGGAAGGCAATTGCTTATGCTGCTGTTGTGTCTTTTGGCTTATCTTTATCAACTCCTGGGAGAGCATTTGTCATACTTTAATAACGGGGAATGAATCCTTCTTTCCTTTATAGCCATGTCTGGCGAGAACAGGGAGAACACGCTGTTCTATTCGGAAATTCCCAAAACCATAAACAAAGCTGAAGTCCTGATGCTTTCCTGGAAACCCCTTTTGGATCTCTTTCAGGTACGTGAACATGATGACACCTTCTTTCTCTCATGGCAGGCATTCATGCTGCTCAGGCAAGCTGGAGTTATTGCAGTTGTGAGCCACCAACAGGCTGTTCAGTGAATGTCTTAAGGTCTTAAATGTTTTTACTTTCCCTCACGCTTAGCTAAGCTCTTTACTGTTAAATTTTAAAAAGATCTTGTTTTGTCAACTTTAGGAATTTTGTAGCCTTTTGTAAATCATAAAAAAATAACCCTATTCTGGATAGTTTCTGCTCCCTCTGCAGGGGTTGCAGTTGCTGCAGTAATTTTTCTGAAGGGAGAGCAAGGGACTTATTGTAGAAGCCTCACTTCTAGGGAGTCCAGGTGACTTCTGACTATACAGTCGGTTTAAAGGTGTCACAGCTTTTGCCTTCCCCCAAATCCTCCTCTACCTGTCTACTATATGGCTGCCGTGTCAGCTGCAAGACTACAGTAGCCTACCGTGAATACCATGCAGGGGAGGGGGTTATTGATCCATATACTTGATCCCCCAGCTGCTTCTGGTCCTCATGTTGGAGTTCCGAGCTATACTCATTAGTGCACAGGTGGAATGTGCCCCTTATGTGGTCTCCCTGTGTCTTGTCCTTCCCCTCAGCAAACCTGCAACAGACTGCTGGTGTGGAAGGGTGGCAGGACTTGCCCCTGTGGCATTAGCTATGCTGTGAGCACCCTGGATGTTACTGGTCTGTCCCCTCATGAGGCTGTAGGTCCCACTAAAAATTCTCCTGGTGCTCTCATCCCTCCCAACTAATCACTGTGGATCTTGGCACGAGTTAGTTAAACTCTGTTATTACTTTTCCTCTCTAGGCACCGCAGACATTTTTAATCCTTTTACAGCAAGTTCTGTTTGCCTCGTAACCATCGAGCTGCCAGCCGGACATGCCTAGTGTGTGGACCTTGTCTGTATAGCAGTAAAGCCCCCACTAATGATTTGCTGCAAACAGAAACCTACTCTCACTAGGCTTTTGGGTCTGGAAGCGAAAATGGACAAACTGTGCAGCTTTCCGAGCGCCATTCCTGCCCAGGTTGCGTGTCTCTCCTTAGGCAGAATCTCCCTTGTAAACCTAGAGCTCCCTCGGCATTTCCAAATGCTTGCTCATTCTAGCGCCTGGTCCGTGCACACAGTTGCCTAATTTTAACCAAAGTGGGGTGAATTTTAAACTGATTTAGTTAAATTGGCGCAATCTTGTCTGGATACTCTTTAAATTCATTGAAATTTGGCTTATGTTGGTTTAGCTTGCAGCAAGGGCAAGTAAAACCAGTGTAACCAGTTTGTGTGTCCACATTGAAGCTTGCAACAATTTAACTAAATCTCCACAAGAAAGTTGCACTGGTGTCACTTAGTGTGAATTTAAAGTGATGTCGTTAACAGGCTCTATGGACGCTCTTATTTTGGCGTAAGAGCAACTTATTTTGGTTTTGCTTAAATCAGGGGTGCCCAACCTGTGGCTCCAGAGCCACACGTGGCTCTTCAGAAGTTAATATGCGGCTCGTTGTACAGGCCCCGACTCCGGGACTGGAGCTGCTGACGTATTACTGCGGCTCTTTGGCAATGTACATTGGTAAATTCTGGCTCCTTCAGGGCTCAGCTTGGCCACCCCGGCTCAAATTGATTAGAAACAGGTTTAAAAAAAACAAAAACGAGCTATTCTTGTACTGAACTGAGAGTGTCCAGACAGCCTTTCTGCACCAGTTTAACTGTGTTTTGAACAATTCAAGTTATATAAGTGCAACTTTCTCATGTAGGCAAGCCCTAAGTCAAACCAGTGCAACTTGTGTGTAGGCCAACCCAAGGTTATTTTTGGCTTCCATCCTTTCTTTGAGAAATCAGATCTGAAACCAGCAGGAAGGAACATTCTGCTCTCTTTTCCTGTTCATTGGCTCAAAGGGTGTATGTATAACTCCCGGGACAAAATTGGCCTATGTCTGCCCATGCACCGACACTGGGAAAAGGTAGCACAGATCCTACAAAGGAAATGGCTGCATCTACGAGGGACATGACGAACATTTGTTACCCTGGTTCAAATAAGATCCTCAAAGATTGTTGCAGAGACACTTCCCCGACAACTAGGCATAAAAGCCAAAGGGGCACTATCTGCTCCTACCCTCCTTTCCACCCAAAGGAGCACTATTGATCAGACTCTTACCTCTACCTTGTATCAGCAGGACTTCTGCTCAGACAGGGCCTTACTCTGCTCTTGTTCTCCCTGGTGTAAATTGGGAATAACTCAATTTAAATTGGTAGCAGAATTACAACCGGCTTTACAAAGATGTGAGATCTGAACCTGGCCCAGAGTTACTGGTACGAGGACAGAGACTCAAGAATGAGCAGGCTGCTTGCAGCCACTGGGATTCTCATTGGATTAACACGTTTCGTTGTTTGCCAGAGATGCTACTCAAGCAGCCAGTCATCTTTGGCTCTTTGGTGCCAGAGGAGATGCTTTCTGTACATGAGGATACCAAGTAAAAAGTAGAGCAAGCCAGATGATTTCTCCTCTCTTCCTATTCAGGCTTCCCTAGACTACGGGATGTACTCCCGCGAAGAAGAATTACTGCGAGAGAGAAAACGCATTGGGACAGTCGGAATTGCCTCTTACGATTATCACAGAGAAAGCGGCACCTTTCTGTTTCAGGCTGGCAGTGGAATTTACCACATAAAAGACGGCGGCCCTCATGGGTTTACTGTGAGTTCATGCACATTGCTAATCCTCATGTTAATGTACTGTGTCAGGAATTTGTTTGCAGAAGAGTCAAGGCAATGAGATTTGTAGATCAAGCAGCCAGTTATGGATGCACTAATAACGCTGAGGGTCACTGAAATGCGTTCTAGAGATTGAGGGGGGAAATCACGTGACGTCGACTGCTAGTAACGTTGAGCAGAAGGGAGAAGAGGAGAAAGGAATGTGCATAGTAGCAATCTCCGGATTTATGATTTAGTGTAAGAGTCTTTCCGTGAAATTACTTGTTACAAGGTTGCTACTCATTAGACTGGGCTGCAGAATTGAGAAGAGAACTTTGTGAAGAGCAGCTGGGGTCACTGCCGCTTAAGTGCTGAAGCTGGACTCCGACTTCCAAGACAGACTAATTTCTTTTTAATATAACACATGCCTGATGTCAGTCTAATCGTATCATCTGATGGATGCTGCTGCATTCGCAGTGGGTTTAGCGAATGAGGCTATTGCGTGCTTCAGCCAGTTCATCCATCAGGGTGCAGTTTTTTAAAGTGCACTGAGCCTTTGTAAACAAGCTGACTTTCTGCTAGCGCTGATGAAAGATGGCTGTCTTAGGGGTGTTAGCGTGGCATCTGGGGAACCACTCAATAGGCACCGTGGCAGCAGAAGCTTCCCTACTGACAGCGTGTGGGTATTTTATGTTTTTCTTGGTCAAAAAAGGTTGGATTCCTCTCACACTAAGCCCTAGCATTTGAATGCAAGTAGAAGTTGGCTACTGTACCTGCCAGTAACACTTGTATCTGTACTTAATGGAAACCATCCATCTTTTTGGAGATGAACAGAATAACAGTTCAGCTCCTGCTGTCGGTGTGTTTTATATTGCTGTCTAGTTCATCTTTTCTTCTTTTAAACAGCAACAGCCCTTAAGACCCAATTTAGTGGAGACCAGTTGTCCAAACATACGGATGGATCCAAAACTGTGCCCAGCTGATCCAAACTGGATTGCATTTATCCATAGCAATGACATCTGGATATCTAATATACTAACCAGAGAAGAAAGGAGGCTAACCTTTGTCCATAACGGTAATGCACGTTCAATTTACATTCCAGATCTTTAATCTCTTCCGCCGTGTGTGTGTGCGGGGGGCGGGATATTCTCTAGCCCAGTGTTTCCCGAACTTGGGATGCTGCTTGTGTAGGGAAAGCCCCTGGCGGGCCGGGCCGGTTTGTTTACCTGCCCCATCCACAGGTCCGGCTGATCGCGGCTCCCACTGGCTGCTGTTCACTGCTCCAGGCCAATGGGAGCTGCGGGAAGCAGCGGGGGCCGAGGGACATACTGGCTGCCGCTTCCAGCAGCTCCCATTGGCCTGGAGCAGCGAACCGCGGCCAGTGGGAGCTGCGATTGGCCA